GCCTAAACCCTGGTGATCATGCAGACTTAATGCCTAAACCATGGTGATCATGCAGACTTGATGCCTAAACCTTGATGATCATGCAGACTTGATGCCTTAACCCTGGCGATTATGCAGACTTAGTTCCCATTGTGTAAACCGTGGCAACGATGGACTTTGTGCTGATTCCTTAGGATGATCCTTAGGAATGAATGAACGAGGAATAGTTGATTCTTAAGGTAGATCCTTAAGATTAAAGAAGATAATGGGGATGGGTAATTGGGTTGATTGTTTGATTGTTTAAACATAATAATGATATTATTGTGGGTTGAAAACCCTATGTACTCACCAGGTTTCCCAACCTGACCTACTTAGTTTATTTATATCACAGGTGTTGATATGAAGTCACATTACACTGAGAGATTACAAAGATGTAGATCAACAGTGTAAATAAATGTAAGTTTTGTTTTTGCTTATGTTTCTGTATTGACGATGACATCCCAAACGTTTTAAAATGAATAAAATACATTTCTTCGAAAATATTTTGATAACATATTTATCGTATTTTTCTGGGAACAAATTCGGCAACATTTTTATGAAAAGTACTCTGATTTTTATAAAGCATAAACAAAATCAGTCTTTTCTGGCCGTGAAAATGGGAATGTCACAGAATGTATCCGAGAATACATTTGAGTCTCCACAGTTTGGCATGACAAAAAGAATGTCAATACCCTGGGCGAGATGTTCAGCGATATCTATTTCTCGGTTGAGTGAATCGCTGTCACACCCCCGAACAAGACAGCGGAAACGTCCGAGGGCTTGGGCGACTTCATTGTTGTAGTATCATCACAGAGTATTTAGTTGAAACATAACATCATCACCATCACACGTTTAATATAAAAACATTCATTGTTTACATCAAGTATTGTATTTCAATATTGCATGCCAAAATAATCAAAGTATAATGAAAAATAATATAACAAAATATCCATGGATTCTTTGTGCCCAACCTGCTCAACAATTTCCTGAGAATACTAGTTAATTTAAAAGGTCAAGATAAAAATGTTGGTGAGTTCATAAGCATGTTTGAGAAAATGATTTGTATTACTATGTAAACACCAGAAAATCCGATATTTTCTTAAAACAGTTTGATATGTTTGTGTCCGATCTTGTATTAATGCATGTGTGTTTATGTTTGCTAGAATGTAAAGAGAGTATGGAGAGAATAACCAAGAGAATTTAAATATAATGACCCCAAACAACCAGATGTTATCGGTGAAAGAGAATACTGGTATCTCAACCCCCGAGGTTGAGTACCAGCGCGAGTATGTTACTGAGTAATCCAAAGAGAAAACAGAATGGTTTCCCGTAAATTTTATAACGTTAATTCCTCTAAGTGAGTCTTTATAACCATACTAGATAATGACAATTTCGCCTGTCTTGGCATTTTTCGGACGCTGATGGAATAAGGGTAAGGTTTTTGTCACCCTAGACTGGCCTAGTCTAACTGTAACGAACAACTCAGGTGTGGGGGTGTCATCCCTGTATAGATCTATACACAAACTCCCGCTCTCCCTTCAGGAGACTCTGGTTATAACTACAGGCTACGATTGTACACTCAATAATTGTCAACCGACATGTCTCACTTGATCCTTAATTGAATTTACGCGAATAGAAACATATAAGATATATTCCTGACCCAATTAACATGTAAGTGGACAACTAAGGCCCACTAAACATGTAAATTATTTCTAAGCGCAAAAGGAATGAGAATATCTATCCAAGACCAAATATTTATGTAAAAGGTCAACTAAGGCCCATTTAACATGTATATTATTTACAGGCCCAATAATCATATAAGGAGTATCCCAAGCCCAATAAACATGTAAGTAGACAACTAAGACCCACTAAGCATGTAAATTAGTTTCAGGCCCAATAAGGGTAAGAATGACGTATTTTATCCGTTGTTGGTTACGTTGACTGTATAAGCTTCGTTGGTTACCAAATTGATGCGAAAAACCCTTTTTTTTTTTTGTAAAAAGACATTTTTGGTCCTAAAATCGAAAATTTACACTTAGGGCACCTTTTTGGTAAAAATGACAATTTAGGTTCTTTAAGGATAAAATTTGTATTTGAGGCTAGTTTTAAGTAGAAATAACATTCTTAACTCACTTTTGTCAAAAATATCATTTTTGGCTTGATTGTTATGAAAATGTGCATTTTCGGCCCATTTATATATAAATTCATCTTTTTGGCCCAAGTTTTAATAAATCCACATTTTTAGTCCCTCTTATCAAAAATTTATATTTGTATTGTTGTATTCTATTATAATGCATTGAATTGTTTATTCTATAAGAATTTATATCTGCAAGAATAGTTTATTCTATAAGAATTTTTGTATTGCTGTATTCTATTAGAATAAATTGAATTGTTTAATTTTTGAAACTTGATTATCTTTTCTTTGTGGATTCAGGTTTTAAAGAAGCTAACATTGATGTGGAAAAGGAAGAAAACATATAGAACAAGAGTGTATTATATCAGAATGTGTTATGCTACAATGTATAAAGTGTTGCTTAAAAATAATATTCTTTCAGAATAGATTAGTGTTTTTGTTAGATTTTGATGTTTTTTTTTAATTTTTTTTTTTCAGAATATTGTTATTATTCAATGAATCACAATCATACAATGTAATTATTTGTTATATTATTTAGTTCAAGAATTGATTTGTGTATTCTTTCAGAATGTATTTACTAGTTTATGTTTGACATTCTATCATTCTGACAGAATAAAATCGAAAAATATATTTACTAGTTTATGGTTGGCTATCTAGCATTCTGACAGAATAAAATCGGATTTTTAAATTTGAATTAATTTAAAATATTCATATTTTTAAAAAATAAAGGAATTAATCATCTCTAAAAATACGAAAATTTCCTTTTTTAATATACGTTAATTGACTAAAATGCCCTTATTCTGAAATTTGTGTGATTATATGGTACATGCTATCCTATTCTACTATCATAAACCCTCAAATCATAACTTTTGATTATATTTCATCCGATAGTCCAGATCTGTGCATTCTGGCACACAATAGTTAGTAAAAATAAAATAACATAACCCTATATATATATATATATATATATATATATATATATATATATATATATATATATATATATATATATATATATCCAAAATGATAATTTTGATCAAATTTTACTGATATTTGAGTGGTAAACAGTTGAAATATTTCAAAAGAAAATCATGATGGTCTTATAGCATCTCCAACTCACTCTTATTCTTCATTTTTTCCTCCATTTATTCATTCATTCTCCTCCAACCCTCCCCCATTTATTCACACATTTTTGGGGATATGAATAGTATCACACCAAATATGGTGTTATACTATCCGTTTCTCTCAAAATGATAATGAACGTTGCGTTGTCGGTTTTAGTCTCTATGTTTATATATTTATATATTTCTAGTTCATTTTTACCAACGAATTAATATTTAAATATAATATTTAATATTTACAATATTTTGTTATATATTAAATTATATTAATTAATTATAAATATAAAGTTTATTTTTTTGTTCATCGAATTTATATAAAAATTTAAATACATATTGAAAATTTAAAAAATGTTAACGTATTTTATAAAAATTTATAATTAAAAGTGTGTATGTCTAATATTTATATAAATATATGTATAATATTTATTTAAAAGTGTGTATGTGTAATATTTTTTTATAAATGCATGTATAATATTTATTTATAAGTTTATTATAAATATAACATTTTGTATTTAATATTAATGTAATGAAAAAAAATATAGATTATGCATTTGTTAAAATTAAATTGGTAGAGGGGTTGTGTTTGACAATGAATAATGAAATATATTATGAATATACTTTTTAGGAGTAAAAAATAAAGTAGGATTAGAGATGAAACACTAGTTGCTTTATTTTTTATTCCATTTTTTGGGGGGAAAATAAAGAGAGGTTGGATTAGAGATGATCTTAGGCCCCGTTTGATATGCGTCTGACCGAGTCAAGTCGGACGTTTTTGGCTGACTCAGTCAGCAAAATGTGTTTGATAATCCAACTTTGGCCATCTAACTCGGTAAGATATGTCTGGCTGAGAAAGGAGTTGACAGGAGGCTGACTGAGAAAGAAAGCAAGACTTTACAATAATATCTTTGGCTTTGAATAAAAACAAGTGAAATGGAATGTTACAAGAATTAAAATCGTGTCTCCCTTATACATATAAGGATGTTTACCAGCAAACTAAAGAGTTTTTTGTGTTTTAATCTCTAAATAGTATATTTAATGTCTATTATACTGAAAGTTTTTGTATACATTATTATTATTATTATTATTATTATTGTTATAAAGAACATCAGGGTAAAATGATCATTTTCCGTTAGTCAGCACATTCACTCAGATGTATAATCAAACATCATAGTTTCTTACTCAATCAGAACTTATTACTCAGACAGACCTTTTTCAATCAACACTTTCTCAGTCAGCAATTATCAAACGGATATATGTGATATAGTGATAGAATTTAAATTTATCTATTTAATCCTTAAACAACGTCTACATTTTAAAGTAAGTCCTTTTTAAAGTAAGTGCCATAATGTTTCTTTGTCAAATATTACTCTTTAATCATTAACGATTATTGAAAGTAATATATATATATATATATATATATATATATATATATATATATATATATACAAAATTCAAAAATTGTTATTATCAAAAGATGTACATTTTAAGCCTTTGATTGTGAACCATACTAAAGTTTTTTTTTATCTGGATCAAGTGTATATAACAGGAATCAAATTCATCATTTTGTTAGAAAACATATTTAATTATGTAAGGGACCGAAATCTTCATCTACACCAACAAATTGATTAAACCAATAATGAATAACCATATAAGATTTTAAATATGTAAAAATAAAAATAAAAAGATATACTATTAGTGTTCCTAAATTTACCCTCTCCGTACATTCTTCACTTTTTTGCTTCTTCTTTTGCTGGGTTTGATTCCTCTTTTGGCGGTGCTGCTGCTGCTGCTGCCGGCGGCGGTGGTGCAGTTGAAATGCCGGCATCAATACAGCTTCTGCATCTACTCTCAATACATCCTTCAACTTCATGATCTCCTCCATTCCCTCCATAATGCCTTCCTCCACATAGCCGTGCTATGAATCCTGCAATCACGGCGACGATGGTTATCACTGCCAGCACCACCACCAGCGTCTCGATTGACCGGTTTGCTGAATGGCTCTGCCCCACAGCCACCGGTGGTGGCTCCACCAGAGGCGGTAGCTGATCATCATCCCCACTATCCATCCTCATCAGTCTAAACGTTACCATCACCATGACCAGGCAAAATGTTCGTGTGTGTGTGAAAGAGAGAGGAAGAGAGAGCTAACGACAATGTTCTAACTTTAAGGTTAGTGGGTGGGTGGGTGATAAAAGGTGTTGACTGCCTTACTATTGAATTACAGTCTGAACCCTGTACTATCATTAAAAATTTTTTTTTTTTTTTTTTTTCCTTCAATTTAACAATAATAATTTTAAATAGGGGTAAGTATCTAAACAGGTACACGTTTTCGGAACCGTCAGTTCTAGAATCGGAACTGCCTTAAGCGGTTCCGATTCCTAAAGTTGTGGAACCGTCTTAAACGGTTTCGGTTCCGGTTTTTATTTTTTCATAACTGCTACCTGTTGGGTACCCGTCGGAACCGATTTTTGTATACGGTTCCGGTTCCGGTTCCTAAAGTTGTGGAACCGCCTTAAGTGGTTTCGGTTCCGGTTTTTATTTTTCCAGAACCGCTACCTGTTGGGTACCCGTCAGAACCGATTTTTTGTATGCGGTTTCGGTTCCAGTTTCCATTTTTCCAGTGGGTACCCGTTGGAACTGGTTTTTGTATACGGTTCCGGTTTCGGTTTCTAAAGTTGTGGAATAACCTTAAGCGGTTTCGGTTCCAGTTTTTATTTTTCTAGAACCACAACCTGTTGGGTACCCGTCGGAATCGGTTTTTGTGTGTGTGTGTGTATATATATATATATATATATATATATATATATATATATATATATATATATATATATATATATATATATATATATAATACGATTTACTATTGGACGTATTGTGTGTTAATTTGCTTTCTATGTGAAATCGGAATTATATGAAATCAACGGACATGATAAGCCTTTATAACATATAAAAAGTTACTAATCCTTTCAGGTAGAATTTGGATATTACATCCTTTAAATTTAAGCGTCAGATTACAGATCACATATAATTTAAGTTGGTTTTTTTGTTACCGAATTCAAATCATTATTTCTTTATTTCTTCTTTTTTATATGTTTTAAAATGTTTACATATTAGATTATAGCCCGCGTTAAACGCGGGAAACGCATAAAAAAACATATAATCGTTTATAGATATTGTATAATGATTATAAAAAAATATATGGTTATTTGTATTATTGAAATATGTAGAAAATACATTGAAAACGATAAATATATATAATCATTGAAAGATTTCTTTGTAGACATCATTTTTTGTTTTATTAGTTGAACGATTTTCCTCGTTTTATATAGTTATGATATTTATATATTTATAAGAATTTTAATTAAACGTTCATTGCATAATAATATTACCTAATTTAAACATATATTGACAATCAATATACCGTTTTTTCTATTGCATTAAATATTAACAGCTATTTCATTTATTCAAATAAAGTTATGTAATATAATTTATAAAATGTTAAATGTTATATAGATTTAATTTTAGTATATCATTAATGAAGATTCTTTTCTAAATCATGATTGGTTTATTTTAAATTGATTATAAATATAAATGCTAGCTTTTATGTTTATTCTTATTTATTTAGTGTTCGCAAAAATTTTGTATTAGTTTTGGCGTAACTTTGAATAATTTTAGTATATCATCAATTTAATTTGATATATCTGTCAATTATATGAAATATCAAATAATGAAATTTCATTACTATTGTGATAATTTAGTTTATATATTGTATTTTCATTAATCTTAACGGTCTTATTTTTTCTAATAACCGTAACGTTTTTACTAAATGTACTTTTTACAAATCTCCTAATATCTTATAATTTTAATCTTACTTTATAATTTTTCATAACTATGTTATTTTCAAGATTGACTGCTTTAATAGTGTTTTTTTTTTCAGTCTATTCAATTTTATATTTCATTGTACAACATTATCGTTTGTATGTATTCTGAAATTTCATTTTAAAAATGTTTAATGTTTACACCTTGATATTAATTTTTTTAATAAACTCATGTAATAATTATGGAATATATATCTCATTTTAATTAACATTCACTTCGTTTATTATATCAAATTCCTCATTAAACGGGTATATTTTTGGAAAATAATAATTATAATATGGCAACATTATCTAAAACGTAAATGTTTGATATACTTTTGGAGAAAAAAAAAAATCAGGATCATTAAAAAAAATTTATATAAAGAAAATACAAATTTAAATTTGTTAAAATTATGGATGAAATTACTGACGAAAATTTATTTTGGAAGGAGTCGTATTTTGTAAGGTATAATAATATTACAAAATTTGAAATATCTATATTTGTTGTGTAAATTAATAAATTTTATTGTTACTATACGAAGATAAAAAAGTAGGTTGATATGATATATAAAAACATAATAATTTCAATGATATTTTAAAATCATGCCAAAATTAACCGGATTCTTATGACATAAAAATTTTAAAAAAATCATCATCATCTCTAATATATAAAAGTAATATTTTCGTAATTAATGTCAGTTCCCAGGATAGTTAATTTTTGTTTTGTTAAAGGTACCTACTACCTTTTCATGTTTATTTGAAAAGTTTCAGAAAAGTAGTTAACTTATTTCATGTAATTTGTGACAAAGAAAATCGAAATATATGACTACATACATTTGATATAGGAGCAAAAAATGATCGAAAAAAATATAAAAAAATGAAAGAAGGTACTGACCTTCTAGCGCACAAGATCGAATGTTGATAGTAGAGAATGATGATGGAAGTTATAACCAATATTAACGATGTTGTAGGAGAATGTTTGAAGAAAAGAAACGATTGAAAATAAATGTGAGTCGCGGATTCAATGGTGAATCGTATATGTATATGATAATTTGAATATGATTTTTCGGTATTAATGATTTCTTAATAAAAAAAAGATTTTATATTACTGGTTTACTAATATAAACGGATTTATATTAATGGTTGATATTAAGGTCTTGATTGAAATGATTTGTTAGTAATATATTTTTAAAATTGATCATATTAAAATCTTCATAACTGAAAATTCAAGATGTAAAATATGGAAAGCTTTTATTGGAATTAAATACATTCCATTTCAACGAATGTAAGTTATTGATTGATGATTGGAAAACATTTATTGGAATTAAATACATTCCATATAGGGAAGATGATGTCAGCAATTTGATCTAAGGGTGGAAAAAATAAGACTGAAATACAATCAATGGTCCAGATTATTTAAGATGATGTCATAAAGTTTCTCTTTTAGTAATATTTAAGATATCTTCTCTGTTTATAAATTAAGTTACCTTAACTCTTGTTTATTTTTGTTCATCAAGTAATTTTTCAATCGTCAATATTTATACATTTTAATAATTCATTTATTTACGAAACTACACATTTTTAACCAAGATTTTAATGAAAATATTATAAAAAACAACCGAGTACCTGGTACCGGAACCGGTTCCTGCGGTTCAATGACCGGTTCCAAAATCTAAAGAACTGATGTAACCGGTTCAGGTTTCAGTTCCTAAATTTCAAGAATCGGCGGTTCCGATTCCATACAATTAGGACGGATACCCGCTTATGCTCACCCCTAATTTTAACAGTGAAATCATCAAGGTTGAGATGAAGCTTGTCTAGCGTGGCAAACACTATCGCATTCCCTTGGTATAGGGTTGTGGCATCAAGCCTCTACACTTCCTTGTCATTTTCTTTATATTTTCATTTCTTTTTTATTATGGTTGATTTAATCAACAAACACAACATGATTTTAATTAAGATAAATAAAAGATTTTTGTTTAGATTTGATATACTTGCTATTATGGTTGCTTTAATGGAAGTGTAATGGATTAATACTTCGTTGATTATCGATTCCTAATATGATCAAATTAATGTTCACTAACCTAATCATTTAGCTAATAAGTTCATTCATATGGTGATCAAACAGATAAACTAACAAATTTACTAGTGCGCGGTTCAATTTATGTTAGACTTATAATGGATTGATCTAATTGGGTATATGATTGATCTTCATATATTAGCTCCTGCATTTACTTACCCACTTTTCTATTTAACCCTAGGGTTGTGGTCAAAACACTAGTCCTACAAGGCTACAATTTTGCAAATCACAAATCATAAAATTCAAGTTAATCAAGAATCATAGGTCATGCAAACTTAATTAAACTCAACAATAAACAGAAAAGTAGTTATTATAAACATAGAAAGGTTCTTTAATAAGCTAACATAACAAATAACCAACTTAACATAATCCAATCCATAAATCAACTCATAAATAAGTAATCTAGTCTAAACGAAAGTTAGGGTATTTAGCCCATAACTCCAGCAAAAAAAACATGTAAAAACAAAATTCAACTTGTAATCCATGATTAAAAAAAACAAGAAGAATAAGTAAATATAAGAAGTATTGCCTCCGATCTCTCAAAAATCGAGCTTCTAATTGATCTCTACACTTCTAAGCTTCCAAATAACGTTCTTGGCCTTCAAAAGTCGACTAAAGCTCCAAAAAAAGTTAGGTTTTCAGAGAATTCTGCCTGCTATATATATATATATATATATATATATATATATATATATATATATATATATATTTTTTTTTTTTCCCGAAGTCAGTTCACCATGTCGTGGTAAGTCCACCACAACATGGTCTTTGGGTTTATCGTGTAATCAACAAGTCTTCGAAGTTCATCGGGACAATTCAAAACGATACGTTGTGGTAAAGAGACTTTTCTTCATTTTAGCCTTTATCTGAGTTCTACAGCACACCATGCACTAGATTAAGTATCTTTTGTCCTATAACAAGCATAAAAATGGCTAAAAATATTAAAATATGATGTAAAAAATATATGTAGATATGCACATATCACCCCAAGACGTTCATATTAGAGCTCCATGATCCCCTCCTTGATGGCACCAAAAATCCTAGGGGTGGCCTCCATAATACCATGAGCAATCTCCAACGTGATGAACTCGTGCATCCTTTCATCAATCAGTTCTGCATCGAACCATAACCGGACCCAGAACCTCCTCCACGA